CCAATAGCTATTAAGTGGTTTGGGGAGGAGGTTATGTTGAAAGTACAGTATGGTATTTAAACCATAATCATTCTTCAAGTACTACATGGAATTATCAAAATCCTAACTAATGGGTAGAACTTGTGTCCACCAGCCACACCCAAGGATCACAATGGCAGATCATCACTGAAAAAACCTGCTTAAATAACATAGTAATAACTCGCTATCATGGAACCAATGGGCCATGGCAGAAGTAGTGGCAATATTTCTCACTACATGATACAAAATTCATATTGTAGTATTCATATTTCAGAGTACTCATTTCAGTTTTAAGATCATATCACCATAGCTGTAAGATCAGTTATACTCTGGTAAATGCAGACACAGTTTTTATGCCTACACAGTGCACCATGGCCTTAAGTCTCCCATTACACAGTAAAAGAATTCTACTTGTGCATACAGACAAGCCACTTGAGCTGGTTTATCCTCACGCCAAATGTATTTGGTGGACTAATCTGAGACTAAATCTATCAGGGTCCAAAAGGATATTAAACCAAGTCCCCTCAGTTCAAAATATAATGCTCACTCAAAACACAATCTATGGCATTGATTTTAAATAAAACTCATTCATTAATTTCTCACATAATCTGCACATCTGTTATTTTGCTGTCCTTTTGTCAGATTTTATGTGCATCATAAGATATAAAATCTGCAATAACCAATCTGCCATGGAAGACAGTTTATAAAAGGCCCTATCCCCCATGGTTATCTACAAGTTAGATGTGATGACCCAGAAGTCCTCTCCCAGCCTTACGTTCCTGCAGAACACTGGTATAACAAGAAGAGCTGAACACAACAGCTGGCCAGAAGGAGCACATTTCCCAGCTGAGAAAACAATATTTCACCACAGGTCATACAGCAAACACACAGGCTACTACCAGAGGAAATCAAATATTTGAACAAGCAGAGAGTGATGCATTTCAGTCTTGCATGAAGGGAAAACCCAGTGAATAAGAATTATACAATGTCACCATGAACTTGCCCTTAAGAGATGCAAAACAGTTTATTCTGAAAGGAACAGAGTCAGAAAACATGGAAGCTTTTTTTTTTTTTTTTTTTTCCCCCTGAAGGTGGAGGGAGTATAGAAAATTTTACAAGAATCATAAAAGAAAGATTAAAAAACACTGAAAGAAGTAGAGTGGGCCTGGATTCTTCTGTAGAAGAGTCTTCTGTTTACTTTTAAAAGACCAGAAATTAAAACAGTTACATTTTGGGATTGGTCACAGACTGATATTCCAATCATTCCGAGGATGGGAAAATGAGAGATAAGAGGTTCAAATAATGCAAAACAAAGGAACAAGAATTCACAGGGATGTCTGATGTTCATCACTGCAGTATGAGAGTGGCTTGTTACAGAACAGAGCTCATCTACAAAGAGCTCTTCAAGAAACCCTGAGATTGTTCAAGTGCACAAATCCTTCTGATCAGAAAAGGGAAAGGCTAGTTTATTTAAATTCTACCAGAGCTAAGAGAAGGAGCAGCAGGTGGTTTTAGTTTTTAATGAATACATGGTGCATTCCTCTTGACCACAGGTTACAGTTGTAGAAAAAGGGCGTGATGAGAAAAAATAGATTCCATCCGATGAAAAGCATCCTTGGATATCAAATTGACAATCTAAGAAGTCTGTTTTGAACTAGTTTTGAGGGGTATAGTGAAAAAAGCCCAGCAAAAAGTACAGATCAAGCAATAAGACTGGAATTTGCAGTTTAGAGACCGAAATCAGACAAGGTCACAGCAGACTGGGAACAGCAGGACACCAGACCAAACTTCGACAGGTTGGGTGTCTGGAGAACACAGGCAGATGACTGTGCAGCCATAGGTCCCTCTTGCACAGAACAGCGGCCGTATCTCATCTTACATTTTGGACCATCTCTCCCACCAAACACACCCTATGTAGGCATACATAGACCATGCTGTTCTAAAATAGCACAATGTCTTGTAGCCCAATTCTACCCACAGGTCAGAAGAAGCCCATAAGTAGAAGAAACTGGCCTTTCAGACCCCACACAGAAGGGCTAGGGGCTATGCAAACCAGGAGGCAGTAGGCTGAGCAAGTCCACATTGGTATTTTATCCATAGCACCACTGGACAGACATATCCAGGCTAGAAGCTGTTTTTTTCTCTCCTTTTTTATCTACATATAGCATTGATGGCATGGGGGTTTAGTTCAACTCATACTCCTGCTGAGCAGAAATTTTGGAGGAGGGAGACCAGCAAGTCCAGGGTTGACAGCATGTGTGCTAGAATATCAGTTTCAGAAGAGTCCAGCTGATCTACAGACCAAATTCCAGAACACAGTCACCTTGACAACCTGCTGATTACCAAGATTGATTCAAAGAAGTGATCCCTGGAAACAGTGTTGCTCTGCATCCCACAAACCTATTATAACAGGATACTACAGTGTGCAAGGGCTTACTGTCAAATGTTGCTTTACATACGAGCTCTCATAGCATTTGATAGGTCACCATGGTTGAGCCAAATTTGACAGAAGTGTATCCTTGTAGTGGTGAGACTCAGGTGTGTGCTTGCCAAGGAAATCAGTTGCCACAGTCCAAAGCAGAGTCCAAGCACACAACATAAAAGCAGCCTAATCAGAAAATCAGCCCCTCAAGTGCAAAGCTGAGAATACACCAGTTTGATGGTACAGATTTATCTATCAATATTGGGTGGAACAAGTCCAGGCAGGATAAAAATTTATTTAGGAAAAGCATTCAAGGAAAAACCAAAACCACTAAAATATATACATTAGAAATATGAATGTCTGTGAAGTTTAGAGTCATTTTTGCTGAATAACTTTACATGTGGGTGAAAGGGAAAAGACCAGAGGCAGGATTATTGCCTGGATCCAGTCCTAGTTACATGCTCTTGAGAGAGACTGAAGATGAAATTGTCTTGGTAAATTATCAAGAGCAAGGTAAGGGGCTGGGAATTAAATTAACTGAGTAGCCACTGTAAAAGCAACATGTAGGACAGTGAAAGATTTAGGAACATATAGAATGAAGTTTGCTTAAAAGGCAGAGAACAATAAGACCAAATATGAGCAATGACTGACCTGTCGGCCTCACCTCTGTGCCTGGGAAGATCATGGAACAGATCCTCCTAGAAGCTGAGCTAAGATTCAAGACAGCCAGCATGGCTTCACTAAGGGCAATTCTTACCTGACCAAACCCATGGCCCTCTATAACTGGATGACTACATTAGTGGACAAGAGATGAGCTATGGATGTCATCTATCTGGACTTCTGTAAGGCCTTTGACAGAGTCCCCCCACAACATCCTTCTCTCTAAATTTAAGAGATATGGATTCAATGGCTGGAGTGTTTGGGGGATGAGGAACTGGTTGGATGGTCACATCCAGAGGGTAGCGGCCAATGGCTCATGTCCAGATGGAGATCGGTGACAAATGGTGTCCCTCAGGGATCAGTACTGGGAGCAGTACTATTTAATATCTTCATCAATGACATAGACAGTGGGATTGAGCTCACTCACAGCATGTGGCTGGTGGACAACACCAAGTGGAGTGGTGCAGTTGACATGCCTGACAGTTGGGATGTCATCCAGAGGGACCTGGACAAACTTGAGAAGTGGGCTGTGTGAACTTCATGAGGTTCAACAAGGCCAAGTGCAAGGTCCTGCACCTGGGTCAGGGCAATCCCCAGTACCAATACAGACTGGGGTATGAAGGCATTGAGAGCAGCCCTGCGGAGAAGGACTTGGGGGTACTGGTGGATAAAAAGCTGGATGTGAGCCAGCAATGTGAGCTTGCACCCAGAAAGCCAACTATATCCCAGGCTGCATCAAAAGAAGCACAGCCAGTAGGTTGAGGGAGGTGTTTCTCCCCCTCTACTCCAATCTGGTGAGACCCCATCTAGAGTACTGTGTCCAGTTCTGGAACCCCCAACACAAGAAAGATGTGGACCTGCTGGAGTGGGTCCAGAGGAGGGCCATGAAAATGATCAGAGGGTTGGAACACCTCTCCTGTTAAAAGAGGCTGAGAGAGTTGGGCTTGTGCAGCTTGAAGAAGAGAAGGCTCCAGGGAGATCTTATAGCAGCTTTTCAATGCTTAAAGGGGTTTATAAGAAAGATGGGGTGAAACTTTTTAGCATGACCTGTAGCGACAGGATAAGGGGTAATGGTTTTAAATTAAAAGAGGGTAGATTTAGACTAGATGTAAGGAAGACATTTTTTACAATGGGGGTGGTGAAACACTGGAACAGGTTGCCCACAGAGGTGGTAGAAGCCCCATCCCTGGAAACATTCAAGGTCAGGTTGGATGGGGCTCTGAGCAACCTGATGTAGTTGGAGATGTCCCTGCTCACTGCAGGGGGCTTGGACTAGATGACCTTTAAATGTCCCTTCCAACCCAAATCATTCTATGATCACAGAGCAACCCTGATGCAGAATTGGCATTGATCTGCATCCCAACAAAGAGGAAGGCGGGCAAAAACAGCAGGAGGCCTGCATGGATGGACAGGAAGATCCTGAACAAACTTAGGATCAAGAAAGAAGCCTATAGAGGGTGGAAGGATGGACAGGTAACCTGAGAGGAATACAGACAAATTACCCAAGAAGCCAGGGATCAGGTTAGGAAAGCCAAGGCCCATCTGTAACTTCATGAAGCTTCACCTTCATTAATAGGGAGGAACTCAGTAAGGCAAAATGAAAAGGAGTGGCTTCTTTTGTAGGTACCTATATATTATATCTTACACTGCACTTTTATTCTATGATGATGGTTACCATGCAGGCCCAAAGCACTTTCTAAATCATTGACTGATATGTTGTTCCTTTTGGATGACCCCTGTGATTAAAAGAGTTTAACAGACAAACTTGCAAAATATTTATACTAAGTATGAATATTTGTACTCAGAGGAATGGATATAATGGAAAATTCAGTTTAGACAACATACAAAATGTCCTGGAAATGTAATGCATTAAAAAATATTTTTAAAATTAAATATTTACCCAGATCCTTAATGAGTGATAATGCTTCCCATGATATAAATGCTCCACCACCATCATCCATAGCTCCCTGCCCAACGTCCCAGCTATCCAGATGTCCACTGACCAATACAATCTGGAAAAGTAATTATGAGAAAACATATCTATATGAAAACACTGCATCAGAAAAGTCAGTTCAGCATTTAAGCATTTTAATGATTTTGTGATAAATTTGGCTTTTTGGTTTAGAACAGGAGTAAAGAAACATTTCAAATAAAACTAAAACATTGTTCTCTACACACTGAACATAAATCTGGGATGACCAAATGCATCCTACTACTTCAAACCACTGCCTAAATCAAACTAGATGTGCTGTGAGAAAAGTTAAATTAAAGGTTTTGTCTTGTACGTTAACAAAGTGTATACTTTCCAGAGATACAGGACTACTACATTGCAGAATGGTGAAAATTTCTTCCATATTCCAGCTGTTTAAACCCTTAAGCAGGAAATTTGATTAACCCTATTTTTGGGTGCATAAGGAAGAAATATGAACCTAGACTGAAATGTTCCCAGACAGAGCTTGTTGTTTTATTATATATCATGGTACTTGTCCCATAGGACCTCTAATTTATTACTTGATCCCCTATGTGCTACAACAATGACAAGGTAATTTATAGTTCCATTAGTCATAAGGATATTTTAAATTAAAAACTACACAGTAGCAAGTCCCAGGTGGGCTTTCTACAAAGAAGGTTTTATGGCTACAGTAGTAGAGTATAGTAGTACATGTATCTCCAGAAACACCCACTTTCAGATCTGAACTCTTCAAATGTTGACAAGCAGCATCAGACAAACACTAGAAGTGAGGCAGTTCCCTAACTGGACCTGAAGCTGAAGGGCTCATGGAACTATGACTGCAATGGAGAGGTCAAGGAGGGACAAGAACTCTGAGGCCAGCAGGCACTGTGGTAAAATGATGCAATAGGATAAAAATAAGAGCAGGGAGCTGCTGCAGTGCCCCAGGAGCCCTTGAAGAACTGGTACCACTAAAGAGTGCCCTTGGGACAGGGTGGAAGTGGAAGCATCCAGCCTGTGACAACTCAGCACTGAGTAAAAAACTGAAGAAGACCCTGGAGCATCTGTCTGCGTCCTGCCCAGAACTGGCCATACACGAAGGGATGCTTCCCACTCTCTAGTCAGCTGATGCCAATCAGCTCTCAGAGTTGTAGGCTCTAAAAGATGGTGAAAAATACTCATTCCTCCTGCCACCTTCCTCTCCCTAAAGGGATATCTTCTGGCATATCATCTCAGCTTTCATACATCACAGGACAACCACTCTAGCACTGATAATGAGAACGTAATGAGTTTTTCCTATTATCACCCCAGGAGGGTGATAGCCTATGCTATCAAGTGTGCAGCTAACATTGCAAGGAACTAACTTGGAGCCCAACCATGAAAACCTCTGTTTTCCTGTTTATATGAGAGAAATCTCAGTAAGTTTTCACTGATTATTAAAAATAATGCACAAACAGATCATGGCAATGGAGTGCAGCAAATACAAACTCAGGTAGCATAATTAAAAGGCCCCTTTGCATTAAATAAGGGCCATGACAAATTACTAGTCATATATATTGTATTGCCATATGTCCAATTAGAATGTGCCCAAACTCTTCAAATTTAGAAAATACACTATGAAGTGTTTATAGATATATGTATTATAAAAACCAGAAGTGTCATGCTTTAGAAGCTGGAAAAACTTGTGATCAAAATCTGAAGTGCAGTTTACTCTTTCCTTCTCAGATGTTTCAACTCTCTTTTCTACTTACCCAGCCTTAACTAAACACGTGCTTGCTTTCCAGCACAGACTGATTTTCTTGGTAATAGACAGACATGCTGCAGCCTTTATTCCAAAACCTCCCCTACTTCAAAAGTGCTTAAATTTGGACAGCAGGCCCCTCTGGAAAAGCCTGAGATTTACTCAGGATGTATTCCTGCAATTTAATGTCATGATCCTCCCAGGCCCGGTATGAAAGTCTGCAAACAGCATGTTTTCCAGGGATGCTGCCCTGCAGTAGAAGTACTTAATCTGCAGCAGGCCTCTGCTACAATAGCAACAGAGCTTGAAACCAGATAATCTAAAAAAAGCCATGCCAGCTTTAGAGGTAGAAACCTTTCTGAAATGAGAGCAGAAAAGAAGTGCTCACTGCAGTACTCCTTGCTCTATTTGTTTTATTATAAGGAGGACTAAGCACACACACACGTGCGTGCACGCGCTTGCAGGCGGTGAGGGCAATGCAGGAGTGAACTCTGCTTTGAGAGCTCGGGATGCACGTGCAGCCCCACTGCAACTTGGGGGACAGAGCTCAAACAACACCACCACACTGCAGCTGACTGATGCGGACCCATCACTGTCCACACAATAAGGAATTTGCAAATAAGAATTTTTTTAAAAGAACAGAAAAGGCTCTGATTGAACGCACAACTGTCTGTGGTATAAAGGATGCCTATTCCACAACTTCAAAATCACCATGTGGTTTGTTTGTTCTTTGAGCAAAAATTGGTTTTAAGAAGATTCTCTCTCCTGGGAAACAGAGCTTCAAGCTGAAGTGAATTATTTAGAACAAGTTTGTAAACTCATTGAGAAAGAACCAAGCTTACAGTAGAAGCGATGCTTTGTCTTTAGCAGTGAAAGAATACCCCACTAATGCTGTTCCCTGGTGGCAACTAAACATGAGCGTCTGAAAGAAAATTACTCCTCATTTCTGAGAAACAACACATATTGCAACAGCAGGAAATTCTGAATCAGAAGAAGGTGGTGTAATCCCATTTGGGGTTACAGACTCCAATCACAAAGCATCCTTACCAACTCCAGAACATTACACCAAAACAGACCAAGGTTCAAGTGGATTGAGAAATTCAGGTAATTTTATGGACAAACTTTCACTTAAATTTACTTAAGCTGATGCCAAGAGCAATTACATAAATACAACCAATGTACTTCTATGTGAAAGCTTTTTCAGAACTGTTGTTTTTTTAAACAATCATGCTTTTGTAGCAGCTGCTAAAATAAAACTTTCTGTGATCCTGCTAATACTAGCCATAGACATTCTGAAAATGACACAGTCACAAAGTAACAAAACCACTATTTTTATCTTTGTCTTTATATAATATATAATGTGTCTAGGCAATGAATGTAAATCTTTCTGAAATTCACTCTAAACCACTATATTATTTAAAATAATATTATAATGTAATAGTAGTATAATTCTCTGTACAGGTGGGATAATAACAAAAGCAGTTAAAGCTATCAAGGATGCATGATTATTGCATTTTCCACATTGCTTTCAAATCCGTTATGTGGTTCTCAGCTCCAATTCTACACATCACTAATCACTTACATTTGTACAAAACATCTGTACAGAAATGTCAGCACATGTCAACAGAATGTAAGCATTGCAAAGCAATGTAAGTAAATATATCTAAGTATAAGGGTTTTTTAAAAATACACAGAGAAACCACAAGCAACTGTATAGGGCAGTGAAAAAACAGCAATACACATTTGCCAAATTGACCAAAAATAAATTTAGGATGAGACAGCTTGCATGTAACATGACAACTTAAGATTTGGCTTTCCTGCAGTGATGCAGCTAAGAAATGCTACTCTAGACACAGTCCTGAGATGATACAACAGAAGTGAGACTGCAGGAAACATTTCAAATAGAAGATGAGTTATCCTATTTCCTTCTGCACTAGCATTATGACCTCTATTGGATGCCTTTAAGTCAAGCCCAGTATTTCAGTCTAGAATATTGAAATATTTTGAAATGTATATCATATTTTACATTTTTATATAAATATATATTTATAAATTTGATATTTTTAGACCAAGAGGATTAGGAAGAGGAACCACCCATTCACATCTATTTGCATATGTCATGGAGTTATCCTTTTCTAAGCAGGATGTTTTTTGCCACTAAAAAGTAATTTCCCATTTCATACATAGTCATACATGCCTATTGCATTTGTCACACGATAACTTCATAAAATATAGGTGAACTACCTTCTGCTTGGTTAGAGGGAAATTTAAGAAAAGTCTATTCCACTTTCAGTTAGACTCCGCAATCTCACTTGCTCCCATAGAGGTACGAGGCAAAAGCTTCTTTCTATGCAACATCAGAGACCATAAATAATAAACATTAGTAAAGAACTGTAACATTTTCAATCACAGAATCTAATCTAGAATAACATTTGTATCAATGTTGTGAAAACCAGCATGCAAAATTATTTCATGTCACTGAGGTAGATGGTAATGGAAGAATAATGAAGTCATCATTCATCTTTGCCCTTCATGGATGAAGACAACTTCATGGATGGAGGGTAGGGTCCACAAAGTAGGACCTTTATTGATGGAATGTGGCTATCACCACTTGCTCTTAGAAAAGCTTAGTAATAACTTTCATTATGCAAACCACTGAAAAGCATTTTCCCTTACACCTTCCTCCAGCAGACAGGGAAGATAAGACAGAAAACTTAAAAAAGGACCACATACCCAGAGAATGGGATGACCAAGAACTAAACAGGATATTAGAACCAGATCAAGCATTTTTAGCCAAGGCACATTCAAACTCCATGCCAAAACTTCAAGCTAAAACAGTGAAGTGTTCTAGACTGTAACTCAAGTTCTTTTCAACTGATCATCCACATTTTCAGCCAAATACTGCCATGAGTTAGTAACTTGCTCAGGCAACACAGGTCTATAGTGTTCCAGCCCAGTTCCCAGTTACCTGGAAACTCATGAAAAGCATAGAATAGAAATTCAAATTGTTGTGGTTCTTTTTTCTCCAGTTTGCTTCTAAATAGCTCCATCTTAAGTTCTAAGTATCACAATAACGTCTTAGATTATGTGACTGGATAATTTTTCTGCATGAATCCCCTCTCAGTGCATAGGATGTATTTGTACAATACATAATTTACACATTTGAACACCACATAGAGCTGATTTGTGTTTGGACCAAAATTAGAGGAAAACAGAACTCACATAAGAATTAGGATCCCCTATTCAATCCAATCAAAAAATTGTCTATAAATCCTCTCCTTCCCCAGGTACTCATTACTCTTTGGTCACACAAATACTCT